CAGTATGTTTAGAAGTTGAACAGCTGTGTAATAAAATACATTAATATTGTTTATGCGTATCAATAAATCTATAGGAACATTAAGTGATGAAGAATAAAATATAAATTTCGTATCAATAATTAAACTCAAACTTATGCCAACCATAATCAAAAAAACAAAATACTTATTTGGTAATTTTTAAATAATATAGCAACAATAATAATATATTTATAATAATTATTAATAAATTAAATATCTATTTTATCTACGTTTTTTTTTATTTATTTGTTTTAAACATATTATGTAAATATAAATTATTTACAAACTACGATTTATTTTGAACCATAATATAAACATTGGAAATATGGTAGGATCATAAAAATTAAATTTTGAAGAGTATCCGTATTAAGCTTTTAAGATTTCTTTTTTTAAAAATTCTATGGACCGTACCAATATTCCGACAATCCTCGTTTCAGTGGCCACCATTCCCCATCGTGTTATATATAGCTACCAATGTTATAATAGAACATTATAAATTATAATCATTGCCCATTGGTATATTTCAACCTACCATTCGAATAAGGTTCATATTAACTACAACGTATTAAGTTATAAGTAGAGACGACTACTTCTAGCTTTTTCATATTTATCTAGAAAGGCCACAGTGTGATTGATGTAAGTATAAATTTCGTGAAACAAGTAATTTACACTCGACATTTTATTCAACAAATGTTTGCATAATTTGTCGTCATCATAGAAATGCATATTTGAGCATGTATTAGAAAAAATATAAACATAATTTGGCTTTTTTCGATGTAAGAAAATATTATAGTTTGGGCAAAGAAGAACATACTTTGAACGATTTTAAGTTTAGAATGTTTTTCTTATTAATTAAGATCATATATGTATTGGTACATTTAGAAACATTTTTCTAAGTTGAATGAGAAGAAAATGAAGTAGAATACTACAGTAGTTAATTTTTCAAGTTTTTATATAAAGTATTTACTTAAATAATCAAACTAGGTATCTTTTTCATATTAATCGTATAATTGAAGTACCGAAATTCATATTATAAATTTTTTTAGATCATATTTTTTGTATTTTATTTAAATACAATTAAAGGATTATTTATATAGCTGTGAACAGTGACTATAACAATGCCATTGGTTGGTTATATACTTTTATGTATATAACGTTATTAGAGCGATTGATCAACAATCATTCGTTCTAAATATACATAACATTTTTTTTTTTGGTTTTCTTAAGATTATTTAAAAGTTTTTTATTTTAAAAATGATAAACCCTATACAATGATTACGTTATTTATATACATGTAAATATTTATAATATGCAACATAATGTCCTGCTGAGATAAAGAAAAAACAATAAATTAAATGTATCCTTATTTCTTCAATCGAGGTCAAAACCCCAAAACTCATAATATAGGAAGTTAATGCCTGTTTTATTGCTGGCTTTATAAATCTGAAGAAGAACATTGAAAAAAATGCCAATATTTTTATTTTTACACATTTAGGGCCTGTTGCAGTTGTACCGTCTACGATTAACCTATGATTAAGCTTAATCGGCTGATAACTGATACTTAAACGGGCAAATTCGGCCGATTAAACTCCGATTAACCATAATCATAGACGTTACAACTGGCCCTAAGTGTTTAAATAAAAATTGTAAAGTTTAAAAAGAAAGTACTACCTAACAGTTGATTTTTGAGCTCTACTACTCGATCTGCATCTCTAGGCTATAAAAATAGAATAAAATAAAATAAATAGTTCAATATTTAACACAACTATATTTTATACAATTTATTCTAGGTACATACCTACTTTTTTTTTTTAGATTCTGAGTGAAACGATAAATGTATTGATTTTACAATGATGTGTGTTTTTTTATATTTTTATATTAATATTTTTATTTTTTCACATTAAGTGTTTGGATAAAAATTGTAAGGTTTAAAAAGAAAGTACTACCTATCCCTCGATTTTTGAGCTGTACTAGTCGATATGCATCTCTATGCTATAAAAATATAATAAAATAAAAAGTTCAATATTTAACACAACTATATTTGTTACGGAACAAACAACCATCGGTACATACTTAGAATATTAAGTTTAAACTTTGATAAAATGAAAACAATAAAAAAAAAATATAATAATAATAGATACAAGTTTGATTTTTATCACTATACTTCGGATACGTGGCCCTACTATGATGGTTGTCGTTTATTATATTACATTATATACAATAATATAATATGGCGATGGATTTGAATTTAATTTTGGAATTGTGGTTACAAATTTGTACAAATTATACAACAATTACTCATGTGGTTTTTGGGTCGATAGGCCAAATACATCGAAATCGATTTTGGATTTTACGGGCGACGGGGGGTGTACAAATTTTGGAATTTGGGTTACAAATTTGTACAAATTGAATAACAATTACTGATGTGGTTTTTGAGTTGAAATTCAAACTTGCGGGTGCCAGCGTCACGCACCTTAATCGAGGAAATATAGAGCAATCTATATAATATTTATTTGAGGTAACATATTTTCACAATATTATAATTTGTGAATTTTATTTCCTAAATGTAATAAATAATTATATTTGGCATTTAATATTTATTAAAATCATTATTAATAACACGATAATATGTTAATATTGTATTATTATTTCAAGGCGCGAATCGCCAGTGTCATTAGTATAATTTATTGTATTAGTCAACGGTTGTGTTGTATGTTATAAGCCTAAAGACCGGATTTATATGTTTTTACATATCGCTGCAGGGTCTATGCAGTATTATGAGTGTAAAAAATGTGGGCGATTCGTTCAATTCTGAATGTGCAGAAAAAAGTTTTTTTGAATATTAGAGAATATTTAAACCATTTAACATATTTTGGAATATTAGAAGAAATATGTAAGATACATGTTTGCAACTTCCTTTTAAGCATAATCTTGTTTTACGGGGTATAAAAGTTTGAGTACAATACAAGATAGTAAAAAAAAGATAAACAAATTTTTATAAGATTTACATTAGTAAAACTAATAGAAAAAGAAGAAAAGCATTTTTAGCAAACAATATAATCACAAAACTTATATAAATTAACACGTTTTATCACAAGTTTAAATATGTGAGATCTTAAGTTTTCAGAAAAGTTTAAATATACAAATATTTCTGTATTTATGAATAATAATACAAAGCTGTCTACATATCAGAGAAGCTGTGGATATAGAACTTTTTAGACATAATTGCTTTTTGGAAATGGGCACACAAATATTAATATTGTCTTTATATCGAGCATTATATGAGTGATTAACTCTAGCTAGATTATGCTTAAACCTGTATAAGCTAAATAGGATATTTCTATAACATACATTTTGAAAGTATGAAACATTAAGTTCTAAATAAGCAAAATCATTACTATAATACATAGATCTAAATAGTAAAAATTTAGTTAACCTATTAAGTGTGATTTTAAGCCGAAATGTATGTGAATCATATGCTTGACCTTAGATACGTACAAATACCATAATAAACAATGGATTGTGTTAGGGATAGATATAGAAAGCGATTGATGTGAATATTAAATAAGAACCTGACATCATGAAAATTAAAGAAAATAAAGTTTTTAAAATTTCAAAATACTAATTATCCACGAGAATTACTACTATTGTAGTAATAGCCTAGGTATAACTTATACTTTCAAAAATACCCTATAGGCATCTATCAAACGAATGATTATTTGAACAAATGCTGTACCTAACTTTAGTTAGGAATATATATTATACATATATTATGATAGCTTTTTTTTTTGCATAGTTTCATTTACAATATAATTTAAACGAAAAAATTATTATATTTGTTTACTAGAGCACATAGCAAAATGATATCCAAAAAAGTGCAGACAGAAAAAATGACCAATATTTTCAATATTAGCCAATGCTTAAGCAAAATCTTGTTTTTCGGGGTATAAAAGTTTGAGTACAATAAAAGAGAGTAAAAAAAAGATAAACAAATTTTTATAAGATTTACATTAGTAAAACTAATAGAAAAAATAGAAAAGCATTTTTAGCAAACAATATAATCACAAAACTTATATAAATTAACACGTTTTATCACAAATTTATATATGTGAGATCTTAAGTTTTCAGAAAAGATTTAAATATACAAATATATCTGTATTTATAAATAATAATACAAAGCTGTCTACATATCAGAGAAGCTGTGGATATAGAAATTTTTAGACCTAATTGTTTTTTGGAAATAGGCACACAAATATTAATATTGTCTTTATATCGAGTATTATATGAGTGATTAACTCTAGCTAGATTATGCTTAAACCTGTATAAGCTAAATAGGATATTTCTATAACGTAAATTTTGAAAGTATGAAACATTAAGTTCTAAATAAGCAAAATCATTACTATAATACATAGATCTAAATAGTAAAAATTTAGTTAACCTATTAAGTGTGATTTTAAGCCGAAATGTATGTGAATCATATGCTTGACCTTAGATACGTACAAATACCATAATTAACAATGGATTGTGTTAGGGACAGATATAGTAAGCGCTTGATGTGAATATTAAATAAGAACCTGACATCATGAAAAACAAAGAAAATATAGTTTTTAAAGTTCCAAAATACTAATTCACCATGAGAATGTACTATATTATTGTAGTATTATGTGTTAGGCTAGGTATAACTTAAACTTTCAAAAATACCCTAAGGGTCTATCAAATAAAAAGATTATTTGAACAAACGTTGTAAATAACTTTAGTTTGGAATATATATTTATTTTTATTTGAACAAATGCTGTATCTAACTTTAGTTTGGAATATATATATATTTTTATTTGAACAAATGCTGTATCTAACTTTAGTGTTTATTTATATTATATATATATAATATTTTTTTTTCCATAATCTTTATTTTATTTCTTTTTTTAGAGGTATACAAGTTTTCCATAAATAATGCATATTCAAAATTGACCCGTTACCTTCAATTAAATATTGATTATGAGTTCTGAGAGCATATTGTTAGCAGTCTTGACTAGTTCGCAGGTATTCTCAGTCATATCTCCGAAAACTTTTTCTATCAATTCTGATTTTTTGGTTTTCATAAGAACAGTATGTTTAAATTTGTCCTTTATGGTTAACGGCGTTTCCGGAATCTCTTCTAATATTTTTGTTATGAACATACCAAATTCTTCAAATTGCTTATTTATATTGTTTTTAAATTTGTATATTTTCCAATACGGCTTATCTAAATCGCTTACTGTCCTAGAATCTTTAAACTTATTTTTTTTGTCGTTATTTTCGGTTATCTCTGCTCTCATATAACATAGATCTTATACCAACGTAGAAAATCGATCAACATTAGACACAAGTATCAATAAATTTGAGGGAAATTTTTCAATATTCAGAAACATATTATAATGATGGTGAAAGTCATCACAATCAACAAACCGCAATACATTCGATGGCGGCTGACTTTCTTTGACTGAGTAATTAGTGAAAACCCACACTTTGTAAAATATAGAACAAAGAATGAATTTGAAATATATATCATACAATTTGAACACATGCGAAGGGTCCAAAATAATTGCACGTATGTTGTTGTAAATTTCATGAATGTACTTCCTTTCACCTTTGTAAAAAAAACTGAACTCGTCTTTATTTTTAGTGAAAAAATCCGTTTCTTCAAGATATGTTTTATAAAAATTGTCAATATTAAAAAAAGTTGAGTAGTTTGCTACTATCTGTCTGTTTCGGTAAACCTCAAGGCGCTGCACAAATGAATCAAAACGTTTATTACGTAAGGCATCATTGCCTATAGCCTCGAGATATGTACTGTTAAATAACAAGAAATTGAATTTTGGTGGACTACAGTGATCAATACTATAGGTATTTAAAATAGACATTATCAATGACATGTACATCGGCACTTGATTGTATTTAAAATGATCAGTGTGCTTTGGATTCAAGACAACGTAAATATGGTATGACACTTTTAAAAGGTCCCTGCAGCCATTGTACGTACACCGTTCGATCACCTCAATGGACCACTTTCTAATCGTTGTCAAAATAGTACTTAGTTCCTCCAAGTATTCGTCTATCAAATCATCTTCTTTCCGAAAGCCATTTTTAAAAATGTGGTTGCTTCGAGACAGAGACTGTACAAATCTCTTACATATTGACACCTGCTAATATCCGTTTGTTTATCATCCACATAAGATTGAACGATTTCATCGATTTTAACATCCTCGTACACAATGTGTTCGACTTTTGACAGATCTCTTATGAATGGTATGTAATATTTAGTGAATTAATTTCGTGGGAATTTACACACCGAAATATAACAGTAAAACTTTTCACTGTTTGAATCCATATATGTTGTAAATTCATCTAAATCAGATATGTCTTGATTTTCAGATGTATTATAAGTTTCCAAAAATATATTGGTAATCGAGTCACGAATATCAGTAATCTTTTTAATCAATTTTTCTTTAATATCAAATGACATCTGTCGGCAATTCTATGAATTTTGTTATTGACTTAACAATGTCTTCTGGCTTGAGAAAAGTTCTTTTTGCAAGGCTGTTATTATTTTACTGTATGTTAATTTCACAATTGCATTCAAAATTGACTCCTGATAGGTACCAAAATAATAGTTCAAGGTCACACTCACGCTTTTTAATATTTTGTAGTATTTGGAAAATCTTCATTGTTTTAGGATTTGTATAAACTACTGCGTGAGAAAACTCCCATAAAACAGGATGATCCGGGTTCTCGGCCACAATATTTACCAACAACATTTGATCTGTATTACAATATTTGTTACTATCTTCTAAACCCAGTTCGTCTATAAGTTTGAAAATCTTTTAAATGAAGTCATTTGTGTCAGCTGATTTAGTAATCCAGATATCTAAGAAATTTGATGATGTAATAAAATATTCATCATCAATACGATGTTTTTTATTATAAGTTTGAACATCACAATTCGTGGCCATGAACGTTTGAATTAAGTTCATTATTTCAAGAATTGAACTAACTACTACAGATGGCGGTTGTTTGATATCTACAGGGAGCGTCAAAGAGTGAATTTTAAAGTGTAGTAACTAGAAATAACATTGATATTAATAATGACGAATAATTATGTATGGAATCAGCGAGATATTGGAAATTGTGTAGTAAAAGTAAAAAAGCGTTTAACAAAAGAGTCGATTTCAATTAATTTATCAATTAGATTCCGCCTTACAGAAGGTTTATTAAATTCATTCTTTTTAGTGTTTTTAAATTTCGTTTGATAAAATATTGTGAATTTTTCGATAAATTTAAATACTTTATTCTGAAGCCATTCAGCAAAAGAACAGTTCGTATAAATATAAAATACACTTATGTACATATCTGTTTATGTTTCTGTAGCTGCTGATGGAACCAGATATCCATACAGAATTAAATCCATATCGCGCTGCAGTTCAATACTATATGACAAATTATCAAAAATTGTAAACATACAACCACGTAATTTATAGAAGACAGCATTCTCTAATATTTTGATAATTCTGATAATTCTAATAAAACTGAAAATATGTTCGACGTAATGCACAAAAATATTAATATAGAATTATATAGTTTAATATGCGACAGTTTAAGACAACGTACAATATTAGGTTCAAACTAACTACAGCGTATATGAATTTGTTCAATCGTTGTATTAGGTTTCTAAAAAATAATATGTTTGTTATATTATTTCCCAGACAAATTACAGTCTGTTCAGAAGTTGAACAGATGTTTTATAAAATAGTTTAGTTTTGTTTAAGCAAATCGATAAATCCATAAAAACATTAGTAATGAAGAATAAAATATAAATTTCGTTCAAATATTGAACTCAAACTTATGCAAACCATGATCAAAAAAACAAAATACTTATATGGTAAAGCAAAATCAGATCAATATCTGTGGCCAATATAAAATATTCTCATGCTTTTCAAGAATATTTTTATTGTTTGTATGTAAGTTCTCGATCGGTGTTGCCAACTAAACAATTTATAACTTTAATACCTAATTATAATATTAAATAATTATTATACTATCATAATTGAGTTCCACATTCAAGTAAAAATATTAATTAATGTTTTGGATTTTATTTTATAAAAAGATATTTATTTTTTTTATATACATTAATTTACTTATTTTAAACCCATTTTGATTAGGTATTCATATTATTAACTAAACTATTTCTTCGGTGAATATAATAAATAATAATAATAATAATAATTTTATTTAGCAATAACAATATAGTACCTTTAATCTAATATATTAGAAGAAATATATAAGATACGTGTTTGCAACTCCCCTTTAAGCATAAGCTTGTTTTTGGGGTATACAAGTTTGAGTACAATACAAGATAGTAAAAAAAAAAGATAAACAATTTATTATAAGATTTACATAAGTAAAACTAATAGAAAAAAAAGATAAGCATTTTTAACAAACAGTATAATCACAAAACTTTTATAAATTAACACGTTTTATCATAAATTTAAATAAGTGAGATCTTAAGTTTTTAGAGAAGATTTAAATATACAAATATATCTGTATTAAAACTAATAATACAAAGCTGTCTACATATCAGAGAAGCTGTGGATATAGGACTTTTTAGACCTAATTGCTTTTTAAAAATTGGTACATAAATATTAACATTGTCTTTATATCGAGTACTAAATGAGTGATTAACTCTAGCTAGATTATGCTTAAACATCTATAAGCAAAGTAGCTAAGTTTCTATAACGTAAATTTTGCAAGTATGAAACATTAAGTTCTAAATAAGCAAAATCATTACTATAATACATAGGTCTCAATAGTAAAAATTTAGTTAACCTATTAAGTGTGATTTTAAGCCGATATGTATGTGAATCATATGCTTGACCCCAGATACAAATACCATAATTAACAATGGATTGTGTAATTTATAGATATAGAAAGCGTTTGAAGTGAATATTAAATAAAAACCTGACATCATGAAAAATAAAGAAAATAAAGTTTTTAAAATTCCAAAATACAAATTCACCATGAGAATGTACTATACTATTGTAGTATTATGGTTTTGGCTAGGTATAACTTGAACTTTCAAAAATACCCTATATTCATCTATCAAACGAATGATTATTTGAACAAATGCTATACCTAACTTAAGTTTGGAATATATATTATAATATCTTTTTTGTGCATAATTTCATTTACAATATAATTTAAACGAAAAAAATATTATATTTGTATACTAGAGCACATCGCAAAATGTTATCCACCAAAGTGCAGACAGAAAAAATGACCAATATTTTCAATATTAGCGAATATAGAGGTAAGTGATTCAATATAGTACCCCCTTTTATTTTTTAGTGGTTGCTACTGTATGCTATCTATGGGTGTAAGAGACAATACCCAGTGACGAATACGTGTGCACACAAATACATATTATATTATTATATATTACGAATAGAATGTATATAACTTTATATATAAAATGTGTATTAGTGTTACTTAAGAAAATAAATTATAATATAAGCCAGTTTTAAATAATATAACAATAATAATAATAATAATAATATTTTATAATAATTATTCATACATTAAATATTTTTTTTATCTTCGTTTATGTGTCCATTTTGGTTGCTATTGTTTTTTGTTTCATTTGTTTTAAACATATTATGTAAATTTTAATAATTTACAAATTACGATTTTTTTAATACTATAATAGAAATAAGTAATTAGTAGAGCTGAGGACTTCTAGGTATTTCATATTGATTGAGGAAGTCCTCAGTGTGAGTGATGTTTAAACATTATATTATGTAAAAAATATAATTTAGGTGCACTCGAAATTTTATTTTGCATATTTTTGCATAATTTGTCGTCATTGCATAGACATGCATATTTTAGTATGTATTAGTAAAAATAAGGACATAATTTGGCATTTTCCGATGTAAGAAAATTATAGTTTGGACAAAGAAGAATACTTTGAACAATTTTAAGTGTAAAATTTTGGTCTTTGACAAATTAAGAGCATATATGTATAGGTACATTTAGAAACATTTTTTTTAAGGTGAATGAGAAGAAAATGAAGTAGAATACTACAGCAGTTAATTTTTCAAACTATCTTTTTCATATTAATTGTATAATATAAGTACTGAAATTCATATCATACATTTTTTTTGAGCTTATTTTTTGTATTTTTTGTGCATAAGTGAATCCATATATTGAGTTTTATAAGTATACTAGAATTCTTCAGCAATAAGTTATTAGTTATTAGTAATTTGTTGGATTGGATTTATAAAATTGA